CAGAATGATTTGTTGTTTGGGTACTATGTAGACAGTCTCGAACGCTTGAGCATGTGAGCATGGACACCCCCTTAGGCACGTTTGCCCCACATCTTAAGCCCAATTGCCAGACTATTGCGATAGCTTGAATTGATGCATCGGTTTTGGCCTAGTGAATATCACGGGGTTCTATCGAACGAGCAATCAATAGAAGAAAGGCATATAGAAAGAGAGAAAAGAGGAACTAGTGTTGAATACTGAAAAGGAATCTTATTTCTGGTTCCTTGCAATATCGCCCGAATGTGCATGTTCTGGCCCGACCCCACGTGACAGATGTTTTTTTTTTTTTTTTTTTTTTTAATTACGTAACCCCGCTTCAAGCTGCTCGCCATGGCAGGGCGCGTGACAGATTAAAATATCCCACTCCAGCTCACATGATACATCTTGGTAATAACCAGGCTGGACACCAAATTCTTGTTTTCCATGCACGATCAATCACAATTGTCCCATATTCACTATTAGAAAAATATTTATAGTACTAAAATTGGTAGGCTGGGTAGCTAGCTGATGGGTTCATTTGAACGATCCTATGAGATTGCAATTTAAGGTAGTTTAGGGTGTGCAACTATAGTTCCTCATAAATGAGGGCTTCACGGTCCGGATGTGCCCTGCCTTGGCGAACAGCTGCATGCGGGGTCATGTGAGAAAAAAAAAAAAAAGAAAACGGTCCGGATGTGGACTATTTCCTACTGGCGACGAGGTAGCTACTGCTAATGTGCCTTCTTCGTGCAGAACCGACAGATGGATGATATTGGGGCTAGTTAAGAGAGCCCGGGGTAAATAGTACACTGTTGACTGACACCTTAAATATGAAATCTTCCCTGCCGTAGCTTGTAGCTTGTATGCGAGGTTGTGAAATATATCGTGCAATCTCAATTTAAAGCATAACCCCTAGTGTCTGTGCCTACGACCTAGTCAGCGCTAAGCGGAGCAACACCCATGCATGAAAGTCCGCTTAGTCAGCGTCTGGTTACGAGACTACCTACGACCGACAGTTAGGACATTATTACAACCTCAGAGTATTTGTACTCGTAAGTAAGCCAATCTGCATAACCTGACCCGAGTATATGGGCTCCTGCTAGGCTGGTAGCCTGTATGAGGAGCCCCCCCCCCCCCCCCCCCACACACACACACACACCCCAAAAAAAAGAAAGAAAGAAAAAGGCCTCCAGCAATGTGAATTCCTTGCTGCAATAGCAAGTAATTGCCATTCACGTACCGCTTGCCACTATATACGCCATTCCGTGATGGTTGAACCCTCCAGTCCGAGTCGCCGCTGTCAATATATCGGTGTTCGTAGAAGCATGATGGTGCCAGCCTTGTTATGTTTTAGGCGCATGTCAACGAATAGAGGATTGCGTGGACTATTTTCTTAACAATAGAGGACATGGAACTACCATCAGAGTTTTGGAGTCCAAACGATATTAGTGAGCATACGTATGCGTCTTAATACCAATTGAAGAGAAGGTGGAGAATCTCAACGACCATGTAAGCCATCGCCATAGCCCATAGGGCGGCATGCGATCACTGATATTTTTTTAAAAAAAAAAAAAAGACCATGTAAGTTATTCATAGCTACTCAACACTAATGAAGATCATGGTCTGTGACTTTGTTCTCGTTTCTTGCTTTGATTTAGTGGGTTGGGCTTCCTTTCCCGCCTTTAGGATCGTGGGTCGTATTAGTTGCCTTGCTCTTTGTATTGTCACATGCTAATCTCGTAACCAGTGCAGTACGAAGTAGTTTTCGTTCACGCAAGTCACCATGCCTCTCCATAATCCAGCAGGGTTACATACGTACGAGTAATGAACACCAAGAAGAAAAAAATAGAGAGAGAAACTCGAAGCTACTATAATTTCATAAATAGGTACATGCTTGAGTAGTAACGCGTGAAAGTACTTCTTAAATTGGATGCAATCAAATATGCAGAATAAGTTTTTCGAAGAAGTTGATATCTTGTTCCAATTCCAGTTGTGCTAGTCGGTGCATGTTACTGACGTCGTCAACGCAGCGCGTCGAGGCTACTGCTAATGAAGGCCAAGAATCCGACCAATTTTCTTCACTATAACCAGTTTTCACTATAGCAAAGGCACTTTCTTTACTTGTGTACACAGATTCTCGTCCATCCCTTCACTATAGCGAGGTTTTCACTATAAACAGGTTCATAACAGCCAGGGTCACCTGTAACAGTAGTACAGTACTCTGCTCTCGTACCCATACTATTAGGCCACCACCTTGGCCTGGCCGTAAAATAATAGCAGAAGGTATCTTTGCTATTATTTCTTGGCAGCACACCGTCTCTTAGGCTGGGTACGAGAGCATGTAAGTACTGGCATGAGACTACCTATGTAAGTACTTGAATTCAAACAACTTCGCCGCACGCTGACTAGTACCTACATAGCGTACTCACTTGAATGCATATATGTACATCTTGGTGCAAGTAAAAGCATGTTACACCATTAAAGGCCTCCTTCCTTATCCCGAGCCTTGGCACTTCAATTTCCAAATGCGGCAATCACAAGTAGCCTAGTGCCAACAAGGAGACCAGCCATTTGGGGCGGTGGAAGTACTGAGGCATCAAGGGGAATAACGTGCTGTTATCATCTGAACGTGAGGGTCGTTTGCATTGGGCCATTGTGAGACTCCATTACTAGAGTTGAGAGCACTTCCTGCTAAATTTCGAAAGCTTTGTCCACTTATCAAGAGGTCGTTTATAGGGTTCCACATCTATTGCTCTTTCTCTTTTTCCATCTCCATCTTACAAGCAGCTGAGACGTATCCATTTGCCATAATATCTCCAAATCAAATCTATTCTTTCTACTTCACATCAGATCTGCATATGTCACTGAGACAATTCTAAAGGTCTTCAGCACTCAAACTTTCAACCCAACCTTATGGAGCATTATATCCACCAACCCACCAAGGGTTTAGAAGCCCAGAAAGACCCAGCTGTATATCAAAGCACAACTGAAGCTCGACTCGTGCGGAATGTTCACAGCCCGCGAAAAGCCTGTCTCTCAGTTCTGCCGGACGAGATTCTCTTGGAGATTTGTGAACACCTTGAGGTCTCTTCCAACTTCTCACTTGTATCTCATAGGTACCGAGGTGTTGCACTAGAAGTTCTTTTCCACCGCATCTCCCTTCGGAACCTGGGTGAGGCACGAAGGTTTCTCAGACTGGTGATTAATGCACCTCATATTGCTCTGCACGTCAAGCACTTATCCGTCGATTTTTTTGACTTTGTATCTTACTTTGATCCTTCTGAGTTAATATCACAAAATCGATCTCTGCCACATCCCTTCGATGACGAAGATGGACTTCTACGTGAGCTCTATGAATGTGGAATGTGCCCACTCTGGCACAAGATTGAAGCATGGCAGAAATTGAACAGCATGTTTGAACAGTCTATGAGGGCACTTTTGCAACGGCTACCAGCTTTGAGGACATTGGAGCACGTCATTCCAGAGAATGATCCTGATGAGGACAAGAAGTGGGCCGCTGAACTAGAAAGGGCAGCTGGGAAACCTCTTCTTGCTCCTTGGTTTCTATCTATGGGTCCCACTTATGTACCTCCACCACCACTATCACCACCACCAGCACCACCGCCACCTCAATCGGTTTACTTGAGTTGGCTGAGATCATTCAAGTTCGTAAAGGGATCTGTATTGCCTGGGGAGACGATGACAGCCTTCACATCCATTTTGCCGGTACTCTTTTTGCCTTCCATTCAAGAAGTCGGAGCTACCTGTTTAAAGGGAAGGCATCCTTCTCGTATCTCTAGATTTGTGGCACCCAGTTTGTACAGAACGTCTCGAGTGACAAGTATAGACCTTGAAGGTTGCTGTTTATCATCGTCAGTGGTGGAAGAGCTGCTTCAATTGCCTATAAAACTGAAAAGATTCAGTTACGCAGTCATGCCGAATACTTGGAGATGCAAGAATCACCAAATACGAGGGTCGAATGTGGGAAAGTTACTTTGCCGCTTTGCATCCGATTTAGAAGAACTTCGAGTCTGGAATTTTTGCGATTTCCCATCATCTACAACTGCGGCTGCTGGCGACGAAGACATCGAGAATGACTTTGCTGAGTGGCAAGACGACACTACTGAAGAGGATCACTTGATGAGTCCGAGTCACAAGCAGTTCACAACTATTTTTGGGGGCTCTTTGGAGGGCTTCACGAAGCTTCGCAAACTTGAGATCCCATTGGGCATGATTTTTGGGACACGAGGGATGCAGCCAGAATCGAGAAACTTAGAGCTCGAGACTTTGGATAAGGGGAATGGTAATTTTCAGTTGATTGATGAGTTGCCAAGTTGTCTTGAGCTGCTGAGGGTACAGACGGAGGTATGGGGGATGATGCATTCGACGTTTGCGCTGAAAGAGTTGTTGGAGAGGAAGAGTAGGTGGAGAAAGATGCCGGTATTCAGAGAGCTGATAGTCGAGGGGGGCCGAATGACGTATGACATGGAACACCGAACGCACGAGTATGTCGAGACATTAGCAGAAGCAGCGAGGAGAGCAGAGGTTGATTTTGGGTTTCATATGGGGAGGGGATGGACTTTGCTCATTTAGGGTAGCAATACTGGTGCCCAAGTCGACTTGGCCACAAGTAATGGTGAAAACTATAGTTATGTACTATAGCTGGCCAATCACTCTTGTAACCATTTAACAAGAATGCAAATGAAGGGGCCCAAAGAAACATGTAGCCGCAGTACTACACAAATTTAGCATTTCATATTCACGAGGAGAGCGTTAGCAGTACATGAAAGAAATGAAAGTCCCATGCACAAGGCGTCCTGGATGGTGATAGCGATTCCGAAGCTGTTCTCCACTTAGACGGGAGCAAGTTCCCCAAGCTCAGAGTCCAGTCCCTCAGCGTGTAAATGCGACAATCCTTAGACGCCACAGTCAACTACAGCATTACAGACCACGTATTGCCTGAATGACAACATAACAAGATAGGCTGGTTGGCGCAACGGTAGCGCGTTCGACTCCAGTTGCCTCAGTCTTCAGCCCGCCGGGTTAGTATGAGGAAGTTGGCATCGAAAGGCTAGGTGTTCAAATCACCTACTGGTCAATTTATTTTTTGTTTTTCTTTTTCCCTTTCCGATGCCGGCTAGTTTTTTGAGATTAGATAACGCAGGTGGCCAACCAGGCTATGCAGGTGGCAGAAATGTGCGACTTCAAAATTTAGAGTGGCAAAGGTAAAGCGCATATCATATGAGAGTGCGCGTGAGTACTAACTACTCGCTGGTTCAAAGAGTATTGGAACGGCTGACTAATGCATAAATAGTAAGTTAGTTGGATTCTTGAGTAGTGTGTTACTTAATTGCTATGTAAATATAGGTCTCATTTCATGCGCTTAGTACTGCGTGAAAACAGCGATGTGATATATCATATCGGTATCTGGGGATGAATGAGATTAAATATATACTCAGAGAAATTAAAGTTGTGATTCCCCATACCCTGACCTGTCATTTAGTCTGACCAGACTAACTTTCATTAAGTACATGCAACATCTCAGTCAGGAAGGTCTCACAGGCTCCTATAGGTAGTACTGTACTGTAGTATGTATTTCCCACACAAGCGCACCACACACAAACACATATATACATCTATAGAAGTATTCTCAATATACATCTACCTATTCGGTCGATACTCATGAGCGCGAAAGTTCACTGATATTGTTTTTCCTACATCAATACCATTCAGCCACTTGAGGGATATCACGGGGGAGGGGTTATGCAGACTCGGTTGGAAGAATAAAGACGCTAGATTAGAGGCAAACACTTGGGGAGGGGGAGGAGGGAGACATAATGTTACTAAGAAAAACATGAAACAAAGATTAAGAGCAACTAATCACTGTCGTCTAAGATTGCATTAGGTACAAACTGAATATTCTCCAAGCATTCCACATAGTTTAGCCACCTTAACGCGGCGGAATCACTCCTCCGGCGATTCCTGACCAAATGAATTATTGAGTCCAACCCAAGCTCAACGCGTTTCTCCAAGCACTATATACAATCATGTGGGGGCACCAGATGGTGTCCGTTGTTGGTACCTTTCTATGGCACTCAGATGTTAAGAAAATGGGGCCAGTATGGTGTCTTCTTTTTTGAACATTACGTAACTCCGCTTGCCGATGTTCGGCATGAGAGGGCCCGGTATGGTTTCCAGAATTGAGTGCTGAGAGGAATTCATGACAGAGGAGACATGATTGTTTGGAGACCCCGATTTGACGCAAGGTTTATTAGGAAAGTACCTGTGCAGGAGTAAAGATCGAATATGCATAACTACACTGCATTCGCAGTGGACGGACTCCCTGAGTGTAACTATATCCCTGCCATAGGCTCGTAGCCTGTATGCGGGGTTACGTGATCAAAAAAAAAAAAAGAGTGAAGATATAGAGGTATAAGGGGGCACCGTTTCGGGTCCATTGAATGTGGGGAATTGAGCCTGGAGCGCTGAGCGGTGATTGCAACCGCATCACATGGCTCCTGCGAGTTTCTCTGCACATAGAAGTTCACAATCGTGAGATCTGTTGGCACCTCTACAGAAATTGGCAAAGGAATATCTGGCACCTGTGGGTTCGGTGTCAGCAAGTTATTGATATCAAGTGGTTGCGGAGACAATACTTTTTCCATTGTAAAGACCCCACGCTGTTTTTGTTCATTATGTGTGTTGCCGGTTGCCCAGGATGTGATCATAATGATACTTATAAAGTATTGTCCGCCCTGTCATAGCCCGCAGGCACACGAGTAATGATATTTTTTTTAAAAAAAAAAAAATTGTCTGAACCTGTTGATTCGCTGTTGAAGGGTCTGGTCAATACATTGACTTTTCCGCTCCATGGTAAAGTGCATTGCCCTTAGAAATCTGATCAGAAAATAGCCCCAGTGCTCTGCTAACTATTGCACTTAACTGATTGTCAATAATCGCGTGATTATAATTGGCACTTACAATGCTTGATGCAATGTGGAAAATGTGAACAATTGTCCAGGGTCATTCTCTATTGTAGAGGGACCAATTCTAATATTGCTTGGAGGAATTTGCGAGCATTATCAGGAAATGACTTCCGTGCTTCGATTGTGGTCAACAAATCTAGGAACTTCTCTGCTTAGTTGAGTACTTGAATGTTTCGTGTATGCGTGGTGAGTGGTACAAAGTTGAAAATATTAGAGTGAAAGCTTGGATGGAATGTTTTCAACTTTCACCGTGAGTTCGTTGGAGTCTAGCCTACTCCACCCATTTTCTCTTAACTGTTTCTACAGTTGTTTTCAACCCCTGCTACATCTTTCCTTTGCAAAAAGGCAAAATGAGTTGTAACAATTCGTATCCCATGTCTGCCTTTATATTAGCTGGTTTTTAATAAAAGATACCATTGCTTTTACTCTGCATTAGTGCGTAGAGCGCACTTTGCATAGCATGAAGCAGGGAATGCATGGTCACCAATGACAATTCCAATTGCGGCAACATCAGATCGGCGGGCAATGAGTGGCAGTGAGATAGCATCCAGAAGAGTAAGATGCTTTTCAACATCTTCGGGAACAGGTCTCTGGCCAAAATATGTGTTGAGAGGATTCAAGTTGTGGACGTAAAGCTCTTGCATGGATTTGATAGTTGCGAAAGCGTGAAGATTGCAGGCCAAAGGAGCCTCCTGATAAAGCTAGCTCTTCTGGAGTGGCACCAGCATTTTCGGCTATTATATCCAAAGGACCAAGTAAAGCAACGATAAGAGGATTGAACAAAAGACTGGAAAGTGGTGGCTTAGATACCCTTAGTATCAAGACGAGATTGATGGCACAGGAGGACAAGGAGAGAACGCGAACTAAAGAGGTGATATTGATAGTAGGAGAACTTATGAGAATGGGAAGGGAATGTGGATAGTAAGGAAAGAGGAATGGTGTAACTAGGAGAACCAGAGAGCGAGTCAATTGCATACAGTTAAGTGGGCGAAGGGTCGGGAAGAGCATTGTGGAAGAGGTCTTGGCAAGACAAGAGCGGGCTTGGCGTTGACCATTTGGGGAGAGGCTGTCCAAGAGGCTGCTGTTGGAGGAACTATTGGAGGAAGGACGGTAAGAGAGGCACTGACTCGTTTTGTCCATTTTTTGAATTGGTGCCTCCATCATTGTTTCGTTTCTGAGCCATCGCTGACTTCTTTGTGTGTGGTTTTAGAATTCGTGATGACATCTACCAATATCAGCAGCAAAATTGCTGAATTGGCTGGCCGATTCCCAGAACCATTAAATATGAAGTGTCTTGTAAATAGAAAAATTGATGTAAATCGTGTCCAGGCGGGCTTGAATGAACACATGTTCCCGGATGATGTTATTTTACAACGTTGAGCATTCTATTTTACCGTAGATTGACATTCCTTCTGGCCCTCCACACTGCTACGCCCCAAGGCATGTTGTCGCAATCCACAAAGCGTTTTCCACAACCGTCAGTGATATTCTTTACCTTCTTATCCATGATCGATCAAGTTACCATTTAGCGTTCAAACTATGAAGAAAGCAATGCACTCTGTGGAAACTAATACTAATCATAAGTTTTATTTAACCTATTACAAACTGTTTTCTATGACAACAGCCTTTAAATATCTCGCTTATCACGCCGGGGCGTCAAATCTTTGTGAGTGAAGACTTGGTTCACATGCTTGGATGATAATGTCCCGAGCTTCTAACGGGTGGATATCTATCGCATTGGTATAGATAGAATCACTATTTCAACTTGCATGCTAATATAAATTTTTTTTTTTTTTTAAAAAAAAAAAAAAAAAAAAAAAAAAAAGTGCAGCTAAACATACCCAGCCGATTTTAGGCCTCCGCCATTGCTATTATTTCTTGGCAGCACACCGTCTCATAGGCTGGGTACGAGAACACGTGCTGCCAAGAAGTAATAACACTAGCTATAGGGAGGCCGAAAATATAGTGTAGGAACGAGAACAGCTTCGTGATTACTGCATCGGATCGGCCAGCCGATAAAGTAATTTAGGCACATTATTGAATCGGAACATCACATACGATCTTCGGAAGGTCTCGCATGCCTCACCGTAGCACTTCAGGTAACATACCATAATGCGCAACTACAGGAGGTGATTTGGGAGCCTTAGCTAGTATAATGATAATTCCTATCGAATTTGAACAGGCACAACCCATTGGCTGCGTTATGCTTTACAACCATGTATATAATGAGAGTAGTAAAAACCTATTACAAAACGATTTGTTTTTTTTAGTGTAGCATCACTGCTGATATGGTACATACAGTGAACTCTCGTTATAAGCAACTGCTTCGAATTGGTGGATAGTTGCTTATGACCAGTGATTGACCAGAACGAAGATAGACACATGGTGAGAGAAAGTTTAAGAAAATGAAGCTATATTTACGTACACGTGAAGACGGTTAGGAGGATAACTAGGGTCAATACAAGGTGTAAAGACGGGAGTAATAGTTGACTGTTGTTTTCCTCAGGCTATATCTTGTAGGACTTCAACAACTCCGCTACCTTCTCGCTGAAAACACCCCTGTCATCCCCGCACCGCATGACGGAAAATACAACCTCTCATTATAAGCACCTCGAGATTGTATATGTAAGGGAAAAAAATAAAATCATGGTACTTAAAGAGACTTTCTTATTTATCCATGCAAAAATCCATAGAGCAGGGACGTTTCTTATATCAGTGGGCTGCTTGTAACGAGAAATTCACTACGCATCCCTCTTCAAACCGTTATTGCTCGTCTTCCCTCAATCAATTCTCCCGTTCATCTTACTTCTATTGAGTTGAAAAATTTCATAAAGGATGGAGATATTCATATTCAGCTTATTCGTGTCTTTTTTTTTTTTTTTGGGGGGGGGGGTTTAATTATCAGTCAACAAAGCTCAATCCCCTCGTGCCGGAGCAAGTGGATCAACCGTGGCTAACTACTATATATATGCAAGACAACGGTTTTGAAATAGAGCAAATAAATTTGGATCTCCCTGTTCATCTCAAATCATGAGAAGAGAAATAAAATGGAATGAAATGAAGTTAAAAAAAACAGAAAAAGTCTACCATCTCACGGTTTCTCCATCGAGCT